ACTGAGAACCGCTTTACCGGGGGCCGAGGGGGCGAAAGGGTGCCGAGCCGAGCTCGCTCAGGGCTGACTCAGGGTGGAGGCCCAGTGAGAACCTGGGTAAGTGGTGAGGGGCTGAGGCTGCCGAGGTCTGTGAGAGCAGAAGGCAGGAGTGAAGAAAAGGGAGACAAGCATCTGGGGGGTGAGAGACAAACTCTGGCCTTTGTATTCTGGTACTTGTCGCTGAATGCGCTTTCCACAGCGGGAAAATTGGAGAAGGAAAGGGCCTGACACACTGATTCATCGGGAACCAGCTGCATAACTGCTTCCCGATCTAGGACTACATGGAGATCCCGCCTAGGGGACCGAAAATATTTAAGTGCTGTCAGTTTTTTGTTGCTGTTACACTGGAAGCAAATAGAAAACTGGACAGTGGCTTGTGTATTTGTCCTAGCCAAAGAAAATTCTTGGTCTGGGTTAATATTAACTTAGGGACTCCCTTGGGCAAAGTACTGGCACTGGCCAAAGGCCTTTCCCTCTGACCATCTTCCGAGAATCAAAGCTGCTCCCCGCCATGTACTCAGTTCTGACCTTGAAGGCTTTGGAGCTCTGTAGTAAAGCCAAAACAGTTGTTGGAAGGTATTTTGCCTATGAAAGTTCTGGCGATTTTAAGGATAAATCCATTTACTGCTCTGAAAACTGTCTAATCTTGAGGACAGATCTATATTTCTTGGTAGAATAGGCTAGAGTTGTGATACTGACCTTTAAAGAGTATTTTGGTCATCACATGAAGTCTTAGAGAATCACAACAAAAAACTCCATAGTGCATCCTTAGCCATGTTGACTTATGACATTGTGTGGTCACTGTTAGGGTAGGTGACATAATAAACTGGAAGAACCATTGTTCAATCCCAACGGCGTGATTATTCAGTTAGCATTTATGTCTTTTGATCATGTTGGGAGAGCAGAACAGTATGATCATTAGCTTAAATCCAATAGGCATTTAGGATATTCATGTTGTTTCTGACAGGTTAGACTACATAAACAAAATATGGACATTTTTAGAGAATCTTGTGTTTTATGTAAAAATACTCTTTAAGAAAAAAGAATACTGTGATATTTAAGATCTAGAAGTGCTCTTATAAAGGCTACATCCATTAATTAATGTCACTAATTTAAACCTTTTAAATTTCGTTAGGATTATGGTTGGTAAAGAACATTGAAAATAACAAGCTCAATACATAGGTGCTAATTTTAATTACTTTCATTACTGAACACACACCAGGTGCTAGCAAAGAATATTCACCCTGGGGACTTAAATCTAAGTTAGAAAAGGCATTAAAACCATAATAAAATGAGATCACAACAGTCTCTCGCCATCTGAGTTTACTTTCCCTGATTTCGGTTTGTCTTTTAGGTCCACTGAGCACACTCCCTAGTATCTTTGGACAATTTTTCACCATACTATAGACATTCAGTCAATACATGATTCTAAGAATAATTTGCTAGGTAAATTGTTCTTTCTCAAGGAGGTAGCCTGGGTACTACAAATACAACAAAATCCAAGGGAAAATGCTTAGACAATTGTTTCATGACAAAACGATTTTTAGCTGTTTGTGCTGTGCCTCTTCCTAGTTTTGGAGTAGGCACTTATTTTTATTTTCACTATTGGTCTATCTTCAGCTATAACTACTTGTACTTCAGCAAATACTTCTTGTGTATTGTCCTATGTACTTTAAAATGAAAACTACCTGCCTTCAGAGAGCTTACTTATAATTGTCAAAATAAGTGATTGCTACATAAAAAAGTCAGTTGTAATCTGTTTTTTAATTTTGATATTGGCATTGTCAGGAAAGTGAAGGCAATTAACAGCAAAGCACATTTTGCTAGTACCTAATAATAAACAGTTGGAATGATGGAGATGTAATAAATTATCAGCAAAATACCATTCTTTGTCTTCTTAGGTCCCCAAGGTGAGAAGCCAGCCACAAAACTCAGGCATAAATAAGATAGGTCTTTTCTCCAACCTACCCAGGTTTACAAGAAATAAAGAGTACCAACTTATTCCTTATTATTTATTTTTATAGACTGTATGTAAACTCCTAGGGAGCAATTATGTTTTTGTATGAATTATATGAGATTAGACATTGATTCTCAATAAAAATAAAACTGTCATCTCCTGAGATATTGGTATTGGTATATATGTGGTAGATATCCTGTTTATAACTGTATAAAATTAAAATCATGGGAGTGAGTCACTTTCTGAAGGTCATAGATAGGCTAAAGTCCCAGACCAGATTATATTATTCTTTATTCAATCCTCACTTTGTTCTCTTTCTCTCTGCATTCTCTGTCCTCAAAAATTGATAGTTGCAAAGAAAATAATAGTTGATTAGGAGACCTTTTGTTGTTTTCACAATAATCACATTGGGTTTTTTGTTTTGTTTTTGGGACAGGGTCTCACTCTGTGCCACCCACGCTGGAGTGCAGTGGCATGATCACAGCTCCCTGCAGCCTCCAACTCCTGGGCTCAACTGATCCTCCCATCTTGGCCTCCCAGAGTGCTGCAATTACAGGCGTGAACCACAGCACCCAGCCCCACATTGTTTTATATGGTAGTAAAATCTAGGACAGAATATTATTTAAATTACCATTGTCCAAATCTGAGGATCTGTGAATTGGGTTTTCTTTGTTGTGAGGTAACAGTGGTTAAGTTCTGTTGTATCTGTCAGAAATACATACTTTTCCCATGTAGTTTTCTTTTTTTAAGGAAAAATAATGTGTGTAAGTTAATATGTAAACCCCTTGAAGACAGGAACTTTGTCCTATTTTGTTTTATCTCCAGTACCTATACTTGGTACATTAGAGCTCAGCAAATCTTTGTTGAATCTTTCTCTTCTGTAAACTAGAATCAAATCAGAGTTGTCTTTGCATATTAATTCTTCCATTTTTATGAATGCTATTTCATTAGCTTTCTCTTACATGACTTTCAGAATTAGAGGTGGAAAAAAACATACAGAGTAAATTGTTCTTTTAAGTTGTGATTCAGTATCTGTAATTGTTGAGACATGAATTTACTGAGAGATATTTAAGACCTAGAAAAGGATGAAGAATAGTTAGTAACAGGAAGCAGCAGACCAATTAGACAACATGCTCATTAAGTCATCAGATAACTTACTTTACTTTTTCTAAATGAGAGAACAATATAGTTGAGCCCTTCTGTCCGCTGAATGCTCAAATAGATAAATTGTGGAGTATTATCACTGTGACATAGTTAGCAGGAAAACCAATCACCTTTTCCAGTCATGCTTAATTTACACACTATAATCTCATTGGTTAAATTTCAAAAGTCTTGCTTTTCAATTGAAAATAAAATCTGATATTTATTTTCACATATGTAACTATTCAACATACTAATTTCTTTGGGGGGAAATTACTTTCAATAATAGATTAACTCCAAATGCAATTGATTGTAGTTAGCAAATATAAAGTGTCACATAAATGCTAAGTTAGCCATCAATTTAACAAATTAAAGCAAACTAATATAATAGTCATATTTAACAAATTAGGAAATAAATTTTCAACTGATTTGGAGGCAACTAATTAAAACAGCAAATCTACAGTTTAATATCAGAGGAGGTTCCACCTACTCTACACAAATATTCAAATTTTTTACCAAATATCCAATAAACATTCTGACCCCTAGCTATTTCTGAAATAATCAAATTTATACTTGGAAATAGAACTAAAGGGAAATTTTGATTGGTTTTTTTGCTCACTTTAAATGATATACATTGAACATTAGAATTGAAAACTAAGGACTTTATGGGTTTTTAAAATTTTAGATTTTGAACAGCCAGTCCAGAGATCTGCTTAGAGTGTTTAAATGACTCAGGACAGCTTATTAAATCTTATTGATAATATAGCTATAGTTTTATTAAATTAGGTACTTAATTTTTATCTTTCTCACTGGTCCTCCTTCCCCTTAACAGGTAGGTGACACATGCCCAATGTGGCCACTGCCTCCCTCTCCAGCTCTCTGCCCATGCTCTTCCTTTTTCTAAGTCCTAGCCTTCTTTCAGTTCTAAAACTGGCTTGGTTCCCTCCCAACTGTAGGACTTTTGCTGAGGGACTCATCCTATCCTACCCAGACTGCTCTCTGCTATCTACCACCCCCCACCCTCTAGACACACATACAATTTAACTCATCCATCCAACAGCTCTAGTTTGAAAAAATACCATCTGTTGGGAAAAATGACTCCTTACTAGATCAGTTCTTGACACTTTTGGTTTTTTCTTCATCCCTTAACAGTTTATAATAATTGTTTAATGTCTGTTTCCCTCACCAGATTATAAACTCCAAGATACCAGGAAATTTGTGTTTTGTTTACCATTGTAGCCCTAGCACAGAGTTGGCTAAAAAAAAGAATTAGTCCCAAAGCACAGCTTTTGTTGTCTCATAATTATTATTACATTTGTAAACTATATCATACAATTCAGTCTATTCTTTGGAGTATTTAACTGTTTTCTGATTTCATAGTATATGAGTATTTAAGTTTAAACACTTTCTTCTTATTCCTAGGTTTTATTAAAAAATTAAAATCGAGCAATAAAGTATTAACAATCCACAATTCACACTGAAATGTCTTAATATAAACATTTCATTTAATGTAAACATTATAATAAAATACACAATAAAAATAAGAATGGCATAAGGTGATATTCAAATGGAAAGTAAAAATCTTCCTTCCCACCCTCCAATATTCCTGTCATAACTTGTAAAGTTTCTTTAAAATACTGACATTTAATCATCTCTAAAAAGTCACAAGTTTTTGTTTTTTCTCTATTGGTTTATTTAGTGTTGAGATACAATTAAAATATTAAGCATCACTACTATTATAGAGGATCAAAACTCTAATTTTATAATAGAATATGGTTAACACTGGGCTGCCAAAGCACATCTTTACATTTAATATTTATTCTTCCCAATTAAAATATTATTGCTCAAATACAGATACATCCTACCCGTTGATCATCGAAATTTTATAGTCTTATCTTGCAAATACAGTACATACGTAATTAAACAGTTGGTAAACATATAGAGACTGAGCACAAATAGGGCCCATAAGGTACTGCTGTGTAATGTATCTACCATCAGGTTGATCAGACCAGTTGTTATATTTGACAGCAAGAAAAAAATTAACTGTTTTCTATTTAGAGCTATGATTAAACAAACACTGGGTTCCTGTCTTTCAGCTTCAGGGACTAGAGATTCTGAATATTTTTTATTTGTAACAGGTGACGGGATAAGTTTCCAAGAACATGGTACTAGAGCTCCTTTAATTAGAAATTTGGCAAAACTCAAAATTATATCGCCCAGTAATAAAGTACTAAGAAGGATCAGGCTAGAAGCAACTATCCAAATACAAAAGGCTAAATTGGCCATTCTTCGAGATACTGCTTCTACATTTACTTGAACTATGTAAAGAGATATGAAGAGGCTAATAGCTGCCAGTAGAAGACAACATGCTACTTTTATCAAGTCTTTGATATGTGATCTGTTCTTAAGCACATATAACCCTGTTTGCACACCAGCCATGTATATTGCCACATATCCCAAGGAAGAGATTAGTCCTTCTCGATTGGCATTTAATAGACCAACCCTTGTGCCACTGCCATCAGTGCCATACAAAATTAACCTCTTCAGTGGGGTAAAGTCAAGGGCTAGCTGGTATAATATACTAATGCTGAGGGCCATAATCCAGGACTTATTTAGAGGAAAAATAATCAGCAGCAGTAATGTTATCATTCTCACAACTATCATGGTAAAGAAAAAGTTCCAATGAACTCCATACTCGGTTATATGTTCCTGATAGCCTATGGATTTTATAATAACTAATCGTCCGATTCCTAGGAAGACTAATGGCCAAACAGCGTGCAATGACTTTGTAAAATAATAAAATCTGGACCCTTTGATATAGTCTTTCCCCCTGATCTCTATACAAACCATTGCAGTCCCAAAAACAAAGCCACCTACTCCAAAATCCATTGCTCCTGTCCCATAGAGCTCAGTTTTGGCAAATCTTCTGGGAAAAATTGGGAAGTCCACAGCCAAAATAGCAATAGCAGTAAACACACTGGTAATTACACGGAAACAGGAGATGGTTGGAACGTATTCTGATTCTACACTGATTGTGAGGAATTTTTCAAGGATTTTCTGGATAGGCACTCTGGCATAGCAAGTCCTCCTTCTGTATATTTGATACAACAGCCCTGCCCCAAAGATAATCACAGTGAGAAACTCAAGGAGGAGAAATGAAGCCAAAAAGGTCAAGGTGGCCACCATGGGAAGTATTAGGACAACAAAGTCAATGAAGAATCTAGTTTTCCAGGTATGTGAAAAAGAACATGAGTGCTGTGAGACAATTATCAGGAACCCTCTGCACAGGATACAGAATGCAGGAAAGCACAAGCCCTGGGTGATTTCCAGCACGCTGGTTCCATTGAGGTTACTGACAAAAGCTTCCTTCATCTGCTTTTGAGACATTTTTTTTTTCTTCCTGTGAAAACAAGAGCAAAGGAATGGAATTGTCGAAAGCAATATTCTTGTGGAATTGGCATATTATGTACCTGACTTAATTATACTCTCTTATTCTAGAATTCAGAGCAAAACTTTAGTCCCTAATGATTTCAAATCAGGGGCATAACCTAGGATTGTGATTCCCCTTCCAAGGATTGTGGGAAGACGCTAACACTGATGCATTAGAATGGGAATGTCATACTAATAGTATGAAATTATTGGTTAGAAAGCTTTAGCTATTCTCGGTACAAGACTCACAGAAAGTTAATTTGGATACAAACCCTGAGAATGGCATCATTGACAGATGGGACTTTCTATTTCAGAGCATAGTACATGTCATGAAGATCAATGAAACTTGAATACACCTTACTAATGACTATGCCAAATTCTGGGGGTGGGAGGTGGTGTGCTATAAGTACACTTTGAAGTTGGGGACGGCCTTGGTTTCTGTTCAGAGGTTCTCTAACCTACTGCCTCCACTACAAAATGTGGGCCCTGAAGTGATTTCTAGAGCCCCAGGCTGCTCCCACTCTCATTTACCGACAGCTATGTTTTCAGGTTAAGGCGGAGATAGGTAGAATGGGTGCATTAAAAATGAATGTATAGGCCAGGCACGGTGGCTCACGCCTGTAATCCTAGCTCTCTGGGAGGCCGAGGTGGGCAGATTGTTTGAGCTCAGGAGTTCGAGACTAGCCTGAGCAAGAGCCGAGAACCCGTCTCTACTAAAAATAGAAAGAAATTAATTGGACAACTAAAAATATATAGAAAAAACTAGCCGGGCATGGTGGCGCATGCCTGTAGTCCCAGCTACTCGGGAGGCTGAGGCAGTAGGATCGCTTGAGCCCAGGAGTTTGAGGTTGCTGTGAGCTAAGATAACGCCACGGCACTCTAGCCCAGGCAACAGAGTGAGACTGTCTCAAAAAAAAAAAAAAAAAAAAATGGATGTATAGCACATACTCGTGTTAGTTACTTTCTAAAAAATAGCTATAAAACACTTTTCTACCACATATCAACGTCTGCAAAGTGGCATACTGCAAGAACACATTTGTTCGTCAAACATGAACCATACTGAATAAATGCATGCATGTGTGCATTATGGCTTGACTGGAACCTGCAACAATACCTCACGATAACAGACACCGATCGGTTGCCCTTTAAAAAAGTCCTTTTCCCCAGCCTGATCAAGAGCGAGACCCCGTCTCTACTAAAAAATAGAAAGAAATGATCTGGACAACTAAAAATATATATATATTAAAAAAAAATTAGCCGGGCATGGTGGTGCATGCCTGTAGTCCCAGCTACTCGGGAGGCTGAGGCAGAAGGATCGCTTGAGCCCAGGAGTTTGAGGTTGCTGTGAGCTAGGCTGATGCCACGGCACTCTAGCCCGGGCAACAGAGCAAGACTCTGTCTCAAAAAAAAAAAAAAAAAAGTCCTTTTCCAGGCAGACGCCCGCCCTGTTCTTACACCTCACGTGCTCCAGGTGGTGTCGGGTCCCCAGACAGAAGGTTGTCTACCCCGGCAGTGCCGCTGGGCTCCCGCTGCAATCGTCGGACCACGCGGGCGGGAACCAGCCGCTTCCGCCTTCCAGGCGGCGCTTCCGGCTGACGCGGGGCAGCCTGCTCTTCCGGGCCGGCAGATTCCGCACGCCCCCTCAGGATGGCGCCCGTCCCTGCGCTCCGCGGGCTCCCCACGCCTGTCCTTACCCATTTCGGGCTTGTCCAACCCAAATGCTCTCTGGCCGTGGGCCGCTCCGTGAGAGAAGCGCCTAGAGAGGAAAAGGCGCGTCAGGCGCCTCACAGCGGCCCCTCAAACCCCACGGCGAGGCCCTATCAGGGTAATGGGGTATGAGAAATGCGTGGAAGATTCGGCCGCGGCGACCTCTACTGAAAGACTGCACGGTCCTGGGGGCGCCCGGAGGCCCAGGAAACCGTGCTTACCGCGCTTCTCCCCGCAGTACACGGGAGGCTGCCTTTTCACTCTCACTGTACCCCAAGGTCTCAAAATATCTCACCGTAGAGGGAGCCTGCAAGCCCAGTCCCGACATCCCGGGCGCGCCACGTGCGGCCCGCACCGCCTGTGCGCGCCCCGCCTCGGGGGAGGAGCCGCCCGGCTCCCGGCCACTTGGCCCCTGCAGCACCCGGCCGGGGAGATCCGGCGGTCCCGGCTTTCTCTCCTCCCGGCTCGCTCCCGCCCCTTCTCCCCCGGCTCTTCCCGCCGCTTCACCCGGCTCGCCTGCCTTTCCAGTCGGGCTGGGCGGAGGCCGTACGCTCGGCGGCTCGGGTCGTGGGACCGGTGAGTGCCACCCCCAGCCCACCTCTGAAGCCCTCCGCGACCCCGAAGGGGCAGGGGAGACCAGTTTGCCCCCCAGCGCTGAGGAAGAGGGGGGCGTCTCCCGGTGCCCTGTCCAAAGCGCCGTTTTCCTTCTCTTCCCTATTCTTTTTGACCCTCTCGTGTCTCAGGAGATAGCCTAGCTCTTGGCCTTTTCTCAGAACCAGGATCTTTCATGGTCACTCTCCACCTTTCTACCTCGCGGGCAGGAGGCGGCCCGGGATGGGGGAAGGGGGTCCCTGCTTCAGTCCTCGCCGTGCCCAGGGAACGGGGAGGGGGCGGCTAGCCCCAGGAGGCGTCAGGACAGCCGCGCCCTTGGCTGGGGTCATGTCCACCTTTCTGGGAAGGACGTACTCTCCCCATGCCAGGTGCTTCCAGAGGGCATCCCAGCCCTGGGCTTGGCGGGCACGTTGCCCAGACCGGGAGTCCCGGATTCCCGCCGGGAACCTGAGGGCGGGGCCGGCTGGGCTCCCAGGACCTTTTCCCAGCGCTTCTCCGCGTCTGCGCTCCCACGGTCCTTTTACGTGCCGAGAAAGAAACTGAGGCTGAGGCGGTGGAGGAAGAACCAGTGATCAGGTTGCCACTTGCCTTGACTCTGTTTCGTATGTTCATTACCGTCTCTCTTCTGCCCACAGTGGTCACACCCTTTCCACAAATTCTTGGCTGGTAACCGCACAGCAAGAGCTGGGAGAACTGGAGTAAACCGCCCTAATCAGACTTGACTCCAGCTGGGAGCTGACGCTGCATCATAATAACCAACATTTGCAAAGCGCTCTCACAGGTATTAGCCCATTTGATCCTTAGCCCTGTGTGGTTTGGATATTATTATTCCCACTTGCAAAGGAGAAAACAGAATAAGGCTTAGAGAGCTCTTGTGACCTTTGTCACAGGGGTTGTGGACTTTGGCTTCTAACCCCACAAGCTCTCGTGCTCCCCCCTGGACCTGTCGCTTAAGATGAGCTTCCAGTTGAAGCTTTGTTCTCCTTTAGTCTCCGGAGCCCTCTGCATGGCTGTCCCTTGGATGGGGTGCCATCAATGTCATGTGAATGTGTCCAGTACAGTCTTGATGTCCTTTTCTACCTGAATTGTCCTTTTCCAGTTTCCATGGTAGTCCCTATGTCTGGGTTCTTTAAAGACTAGATAGGTGTATTTGGAGCCTCAAAAAAGTCTCCACCAGAGTTAATCCATTACAGGCACCCCTCATCGTCATCCCTCATTGCTAGAGGAGGTCCTGAAAAATTCACATACCATTCTTCAGATATTGGCCTAGACCCAGCCTCACAACACAGCCTCCTCTCAGATGGATTCCCCTCTCCTGAAATCCTCACCTTCTTGAAGCTGACACTGTACTGGTGCACCTGATTAGTGCTCCCAAACAGATTTTCAGCCCTTAGTTGTAGTGCTAACAAGATTCACTGAGTGAATATTCACAGTTGCATTTGTATGGTGCTTTCAAACCATGACCTCATTGACCTTCACAACTACTTGTGAGGTGAATTTAACTATCACCATTTTCAAGGTGAGGAATTGAGGTAGGTGGGGTGGCTTACCCAAGCTTGCACACCTAGTGAATGGCTGAGCTATGATTTCCCTACCACACAACAGCTTTCCTAGAGCATCATGAGTTGACTCTAGGCATAATGACCAGAAGATTTGCAGCCCCAACTCTAACCCTGTAATAAAACTGGCCCGGGGAGCCTCCAGAGGCTGTCATAAAAGTTTCTCCTGTTTCCCGATAGGCAAGGGAAAGAACAGACTCTCACTCTCTGCCCAGGCCTGCCCTGCTTCTCATTTTGGTTGCTTCTGTTTGGTGGGAGGAATAAGGGTGAGTCACTCTGAAACACCTTCACCTGTGTGTGGCCCTTGTCTTCTCTCTCATGCCACAGGTTCTTGGGTGACTTGTCTCAGATTCTTCCAGAACTGAGCTCATTGCTAAAGCCACGTCCCAGCCCATGGCCCCATGACCAGGTGGAGAGCACTCCTTGTGCCTGCAACCCCAAACCCTGGCTGACCACATTGAAGCAATATGCTACAGCAGGTAAAACCTTGACCTTTGATAACTCAGGCCTGCAAGCACCTGAGGCACCTTCCCATCTTCTGCTTGCCTGAATGAAGGTTCTACTCCCTTCACCTGGAAGGAAGGGAAAGATCCCTTAAAGGATGCGTTTTCTCTCTTTAGCTCGTCACTCCAATGCCTTTTACCCATCATCGAGAAGCTTGTCTTGATCTCTAATTTGAATCTTTCTTGTGGTTTTTAGCTCTTTTCCTTGGGATAGGTAAGGGAATCCTTAGGGCACTTTAGTGACCCTACAGAGGGAGTTCGGAGAGATGTCCCTGCCACCTGAATTATTGAGGCACAGTAGAAGCCTGGGGCTTCCAAGAGGATCTGTTCCTTGAAGCTGAGCCTTAAAGAATAAGAAAGAATTAACCAAGTGGAGAAGGAAAATAAGCAGTCCAGGCAAAGACATCAGCCTGTGCAAAAATGTGGGAGATGACTTTTGTAGAAATACAGAAGGGTTCTGATGAATGGATCGTGGGGTGCGTGAAGACTGCCCTTATTCCAGGCCTCTGCCTTTCTGGAAAGGCTGCTGTTGCCTCAGGCCTATAGGATTCCAAATTACTCTTTATTGTGGAACTCTGTCTCATACCCATATCATCCTTCATGTGTAGCTTCTGGTCCAGAGAGAATGCCAGTATATATTTGCTCAATTTTTATTATTTTAAGTATTTCCAGGCGCTGGGCTGAGTCAGTGTTGAAAATGGTACTTGCCCTCAAGGAGTTCACAGTCTAGTGGAGCCCTAGGTAGCTTAAGTGCCTGAAACTCACAAAGATAACCACGTGTGGGGGTGGCCAGCCCGAAGGGAGCCGTGGTAGACACTGCTGCTTGACATTCCAGCCATATGGCTCATGAAACAGGCTTGAAGGCTGAAGAGAAGCAGGAAAGACAATTGTCTGCTCTGGGTTTTTTTACTTTTTATTTTTAACTTGGTTTGGGTTTTGTTTGTTTGTTTTTATGAGGTTTTGTTTGTTTCTTTGTTTTTAAGATGTGGGTTCACATCTGTTGCCCCAGCTGGAGTGCAGTGGCATGATCATAGCTCACTGTAGCCTCTAACTCCTGGGCTCAAGGGATCCTCTTGTCTCAGCCTCCTGAGTAGCTGGGACTACGGGCTCGAGCCACCATGCCCAGTTGGGTTTTTTTTCTTCTTAAAAAAGCATTAATGTGCTTGTCCTAGCTGTGGTGAAAGTAAAGAAAATGAAAAAAAAAAAAGCATTAATGGTCACCATAACCATGCTAGTAGCTGCTCTGTGTTGAGCCCTTGTTGTGTTTAATCCTCATGGCATCCCTGTGAGAAAGATAGAGTATTATACATACAGTGTTGTTATAGCCCCATTTTGGAGATAAGGCTCGGGGATGCTATGGGTTATTCAAGGTCACATTCATTATCAGAAATTTGGAAAATACAGATAAAAAGAGCATTAAAATTATCTATAACCAACACTTTATAGAATATCATGGATTTTTCCCCTAAATATATTTTTAAAACATTTAAAGGTTTTATACTTTTTGTAACCTGCTTTATTCCATTGTATGGCTGTACTATAATTTAAGCAGTCTACTATTTAGAAATAGTGGTTTCAATTCTTTTACAATTATAAATGGCTTTATATACACTGACATTCTTATTGCCTTTATGTAGGATCATTTTTGAGAAGCAGAAGTGTAGGCTTAAGGGGCATGCATAGTTTTAAGGCCTTTGATATATTATTGCCTAATTAGGAGAGCCACTTTTATTTACTTCTTTTTTTTCAACAACCCCTCTCAAATAAAAGAGCCACTTTTAGAAGAAGAATAATAGCTGACTTTTGGGGCACATTCCAGATGCCTTTCTAAAGCCTTTATGTGCTTATTAGTATCTATGAGGTAGGTACTATCACCATTCCCATTTTACAGATGAGGAAAATTGAGGCACAAAGAAATTAAGAAACTTACATAAGATTATATTAATACAACTAGTAAGTGGTGGAATCACGATTCAAACCCAGGCAACTAGCTTTCAAATCCAGGCTCTTGATCCCTGTACTCAGGTGTCTCTCTAGTTGGATCAGAGCTGTTCGTAAATTGTGGCTGAGTTTGTGGTTTTGTTATTTGGGGTTTGTGGGTTTTTTCTCTCCTCACTAGAGCAGAAGGATTTGCATGGATCAAGCCATACTCT